ACCCTCTCTTTGCCTTGGGTTTCTTATCAATTATATGAGTATAACAATAGCCTTATTCTGTTATCGTGTGGGTCAAACATGGTAATTCACGGAGCTCTAACTTCTTTGTGCTCGGCATAAACAATGAATGTATGTTATATTGTTATTATCATTAAAATTATTTTTACTGTACTACAACTACTAGTGCACATAACTGACAGTTCATTCTTTCGCCTTTGGGGTAGTAGGTAGAAACAGCTTCCTGCTATCAAATTCATCTCCATATTCTCTAAAGGCAGCCCTAACAGTCTCAGGAATGGTGGTAAGATGAGTAGAAGGTTAGCATCAGAAATAAATTACCTTTGAAAATAAAATTGCCTACTGAGCACTTTCATTTGAGGCTGAAAGTCAAAATTCCCCATTCTTCTCAAACCTACTCTTTCTCAATAACTCCCTTTTTCCCTCAGTTTTATTGAGATATAATTAATACATAACATTGTATTTATTTTAGGTGTATCTCTTAATGATTTGGTGTTTGTATAGATTGCAAAGTGACTGCCACAATAAGTTTAGTGAACATGCATCCCTCATGCAGTTACACATTTCTTTTCTTACGATGACAACTTTTAAGAACTACTTTCTATACAACTTTCAAATATACAGTACAGGATTAACTATAATCACCATGCTATACATTACATCCCAGGGCTTATTTATCTTATAACTAGCAGTTTGTACCTTTTGACCCCCTTCTCCCATTTTTTCCACCTCCCGTCCCCCACTCCCTGGCAACCACAAATTTGCTCCCTGATCGATGAGCTTGGTTTCCTTAAATTCCACATATAAGTGAGATGGTGCAGTATTTCCATACTGTTCTCCATAATGTCCACACCAATTTATATTCCCACCAACAGTGCACAGGGATTCCCTTTTTCCCACATCCCTGCTAACACTTATCTCTTGTTTTTTTTTGTTTGTTTGTTTGTTTTGTTTTGTTTTATTTTGATAATAGTCATTCTAATAGGTATCAGGTGATATCTCATTGTGGTTTTGATTTCCACTGCCCTGATGGTTAGTGCTGTTGAGCACTTTTTTATGTTCTTATTGGCCATGCGTATGTCTTCTTTGAAAAAAAAAAAAAGTCTATTCAGATCCTTTGTCTTCATTTTTTAATTGGATGGTTTGGATTTTTTTGCTATTGAGTTATATGTGTTCTTTATATATGATTGATATGCAAAGCTTTTCCCATTCCATGGGTCTCCTTTTTGAAGAAGGTTTTCAGTTTGATGTAGTCCCATTTGTTTATTTCTGCTTTTGTTTTCAACTGCTTTTGTTAACAAATACAAGACATCATTGCCAAGACCAGTGTCAAGGAGATGAACCTCTATGTTTTCTCATAGAAACTTCATGGTTTTAAATTTACATTCAAGTCTTTCATCCATTTTGAATTAATTTTTGTGTGTGGTGTAAGACAGTGGTCTGGTTTTCTTCTGTTGTATATGGCTGTCCAGTTGTCCCAACACCATTACTAAAGAGACTATTCTTTCCTCATTGTACATTCTTGTCATAAAATAATTGACCATACATTGTGGGTATATTTTGCTCTATTCTGCTCCATTGATTTATGTATTTGTTTTTATGCCATGTTGTTCCGGATACCATAATTTTGCAACATAGTTTAAAATCAGAAAGTCTGATGTCTCCTGCTTTATTCTTTCTTTTTTTAAATTATTAATTATTTTTATTAACATATAATGTATTATTTGCCCCAGGGGTACATGTCTGTGAATTGTCAGGCTTACACACTTCACAGCACTCACCATAGCACATACCCTCCCCAATGTCCATAACCCAATCACCCTCTCCACATCCTCCCTCCCCTCAGCAACCCTCAGTTTGTTCTTTCTTGAAATTGGTTTGGCTATTTGGTGTCCTCATGGTTCCATACAAATTTTAGGATTGTTTGTTCTGTTTCTGTGAAAAATACCATTGGTATTGCAGTGAATCTGTAGATTGTTTTGAGTAGTATGGACATTTTAACAATATTAATTCTTCTAGTCCATGAGCATGGAATATCTCTCCATTTATTTGTGTCTTCTTCAGTTTCTTTAATCGATATCATAGTTTGCAGGGTACAAGTCTTTCTACCTCCTTTGATAAATTTATTCCCAGGTATTTTGTTCTTGTTGATATAATCATAAAGGGGTTCCTTTCTTTACTTACTCTTTCTGATAGCTCATTATTAGTGTATGGAAATGCAACTTATTTTTTCATATTGATTTTATATTCTGCAACTTTATTGAATTTGTTTATTAGTTCTAAAAGATTTTTTTTTACTGGAGTCTTTAGAGTTTTCTATGTATATGTCATCTGCAAATAGAGACAGTTTTACTTCTTCCCTTCTTACTTTGTGCCTTTCATTTATTTATTTTTCAGGCTTAATTGCTCTGTATTTAAGACTTCCAGAACTGTGTGTCAAGAGTGAGCATCCTTGTCTTGTTGCTGATCTTAAAGGTAACGATTTCAGTTAAAATTTCCCATCTTTTTCAAACCTAATCTTTCTCACTTAACTCCGAACTCAGTTAAAAACCTGACCATCTATCTAGATATCAACTCCTTCTACATCACTACCCACTTGGTGGCCCAGTGCCACTGATTTTCCTCCTGCAAGAACTCTCTGAAGATCTCTCTTCTCTTTCTCCATTCTACCTGGTTCGGGCACAATGAATGTTATTTATTTATTTATTTTTGCTTGAATCACTCCAGTGGTCTAAACTCTCAGTGCCTTCCCCTGCAACCCCACCTACTTCTCATCTCCAATGTCACCTGTGCAAAATACAAATTAGATCAAATCATTTCTCCCATAAAAGCTGTATAATTTCTCCTTTTCCATAGGGTATATCCACATCCTGGGATCACTGAAACACACACCCCCCACCCACCCAAACTCCCCTGCCACTCCCTCACTTCAGAGCACCCAGATGTTCTTTTAACACAAACTTTCCTTCCATGTGGAACACCTACTTAGCTCCTTCTCTAGAAAACTGCACTGCCTCCTGCAATGCAGTCCAAACATAAACCTTTCTGCGAGCTCTTCCAGATTCCCTCCACCCTTCCTTCTCTGGACGTCCAAAGAACTCGTTCCTATCTCCACTAACCATTCGTCGTGTTGATCACTATCACCTATTTTCTTATCCTTCTTTTCTGCTAGATTGATTCCTGAATGGCATGGGCCTCATTCATTTATCCTCTGCCACAGGACCTACATAACACACAGTACAGGCGTAACAAAATACTGCTGTATAAACAGAGTGGGTGGTACCCAAAGTAAAAGGAGTAATAAAATGAGACCTCAGTGACTATCAAAGTTGATCTCAATTAAAGCTAGTTACTGTTATATATAACTAACTGCAAACGATTATGTAAGTAGTTTTTCAAAAGAGTGTGGTATGAACTTGCAAATGGCAAAGCTCTCAAGTTCCCATTTAGGCTTGTTAAATGTTCATCAATGGAGAGAGAGCACCACATCCTCCCAGATTTAGCCCGGTTCTGCAGGACCTGCACACAGAAGGCATTCTGAAAGCTCTTGCAATCCTGAACCTTTATTTGAGGACACTTTTCCCTCACAAAATTCCGTGGACTGGACTCGGGTAGTAGGTGCTCAATAAATGCTGACTGGATTTGCAGTAGATTTGAAAGCAAAGTGCAACTCACATTTTAGACTAATTCAATGCAATGACTGTACTTAAGATAATAGCTCTAAGCCTAAAGAAAATCAATGGGCAGACTGAAAAGCAGCCAAATGCTCACTCCCCTGCCTTGTTCCACAGTCAATGCTGATCTGCTTCTTGATCCTTTCCAGCTTCTGAGATTTTCCAACTTCACTGTTTCCCCAGAATGGAAGGGGCCAGTTAGCCAAGTGTTGCCCTGTACCTGTGATATATTTGCCCTGTGCTTTGCTGTTGAAGTAATGTGTGAGAAAGTTGAGTGGCATTTTTAAAAATGTCCTACTTTTCCTAAAGCCTATGTGTGACAGGTTAAGTAGGATTCTAGCTGAAGGGGGTAAGAAGTATGGACTGGAATGCTATAGCATTTTTTCACCTTCAGTTGTGAAACTGTATGTTAAAGGGAGCCCAGAAACTTTTGTTTTTACTAAAATGATATATTTTTTAAATAAATAAATAAATAAAGCTTGGGCAGGGAACTCTAAATTGGATGTCTATGTAACACCTCTATACCAATGTAGGAAATAGGAAGATTCAAAACATGCACTCTGCTATAATTCATTCTGGGGTAAGAAAAAGACAGCAGTGCCTTGGAGAATAAATCATTAACTAAAAGTCAAACCGAGACACCCTGGAAACCAGTGAGGCCAGGCGGCCGGGATTTGCCTGTTCCCTCGGGTGACTTCCAGAGCGAAGCATCCCACAGGCAGACAAACTCGGCACACTGCACTCCCTTCTATTTCACTTTTCAAACTCGAAGTTATTTTTAGATGACCCATGTCCGCTAATCCCAGGCAGGACAATTCCCAGCCCGCTGCGCCTCAAAGTACCTTCCTCCTCCCCGGCACTTCTTTTCAAGCACCGGGAAAGGAGCTTCTCCGTTTTCTCCTTTTTTCCCCCGCAGAGTGTAGTCCACCTGCCCTTTCCCCTCTCCAAACCTCAGTCCCGGGGGCCACAGGCGTCATCCTCGCTGTTCTACTTATGCACCTGCTGCTGCTACTGGAAAGGCGAATCCCTGAGCCACTAGGAATGGGGCAGGGGCTCTCTGAGACCCGTGCACTCTTCAAGGGAGACCCTCCCCCGCACAACACACACCAGGCCGCCGCAGGGGCTGACAGCTGGAGCAGACCACCGTCCCTCCCTCCGCCGCTGCCGCCCCCCCTGCCCAGCCCCGGAATCCCACCGCGCTCGCCCGCTCGCCCCCTGCCGCGTCCTCCTGCACAGCCCGGGCGCAGCGCGCAGCCCCAACAGGACAGGGCGCAGGGGCGAGCGGGCCAGTACGGTTACATAACCGACCTGCTGGGCGTCCGCGATGCGCCGGCAGAGGCTGAGGCGGCGGCTCGGGAGTCCGCGGGGCCGGCGACTGCGGGCGCGGCGCTGCCTGCTCACCTGCCGCCCGGTGCGAGCGCGTGGGGGCGGGCGCGGTGCCCGCGGGCCTGGGCGTGGGGCCGTGCGCGGCGCGCCCCGCCTCCCGGTCTCGAGGTCCGTGTGTCCCCGGCTCTCTGCCTCCTGCCCGCTCCTCCCCGCAACCTCGGCCGCCTTCAGCCGGGACAAAGCGGCTCCGGGGAGGGGCCGAGCCGGCGGCTCTCGCAGGAGCCAGCGGAGATGGGCGCGCCCCCAACTCCGACTCATCGGGCCAACCTCCAATCAGACCCCAGGAAACCGAAAGCCCCTGTGTGGCCTCCTCTCCTCCCCTCCCCCCTGACCTGGCGCCCTTCCCGAGCCCACACTCGTTCTGCTCCCCGGGCTGCCCCCCTGCCCTCAGCACCGCCCCCCAACACACACACCCCGCTTTCCACTCGGGGTGCCCAGGAAGCGGAGAAGCCCCTCTGGACCCCTAGGGCAGATGCCAGTGCTCAGGAGTCCCGGCCCCAGCGCGGAGGGCTCCCCGGGGTCATCGCCGGGAGGGGCTTTCTAAGGGGTCGGAGTGGGCAGGGGGCTGATTGTGAAGCTAGTGATGACTAGGCAGCGACAACCCAGAAGAAACTGGCGGAGAAGCAAACTGTGGGTGAGGAGTACTGGAAGAGAGACTTTTCTCACACGCAGACTGAGCTCCCCGATTCCGGTCGAGGAAAGATCGGGAAGCCCCCGGACGGTCCGTGGGGCGTCTGCGCCGGGTGGGTGCGGCGCCCTCTGTCTGGAGACCTCCGTCCGCTCCGCCCACGCGCTCAAGGTGCCCTGCGCGGGCTCCCCGGCTTTGCCAGGATTCGCTGCCACCAGACCTGGGGACAGAGGGCTTCAAGGACTCCTATTGTGTGAGAGCCGGTGACAAGTGAGAGGCTGCTTTCATACAGTGTACGGCTGAATGTGAATCAGATTCTAGGCTAGATCTGTTGCTCAACAAACTTAAGGTAGATGTGTCTGCTTTACAAAATAAAGCAATTCTGAGCCAGAGGAAGCCTGTGGCTCATGGGTCACAAGGGCTGATGGCAGGAGAAAGTCAGTCAGTCGTGTACAAGACCAGAACAGGGAAAGTGGGGAAAATTCAAGGAAGAAGGGCCAAGTCGGGGTAGGAGTGCGGACCAACTCGAAGAGGGAGTAAATAATATTCAAATCAGTTTTATATTCTGTTATCTTTCTAATTGCTATATAAATAAGCCTTTTTTCCTTTTGCTTCTTATGCCTTTCTGTTTCCTGATAACAATATTAAAATTGCACTGAAGCTGTGGATAAGTTTCACAATTACTCTTCCCTCAGCCACACACCACCTTGTGTTTTCCAAGGTTGATGAAAAATTTCATCTTAAACAAAAGCAAGCAACGATAAAACCAAAAGGGTAAACCTTAGCTTGTCACTCCGATTAATCTGCACTAATATAAATAAAGACAGAATTTCAGAGTTAAAAATGGCCTTAGATTCCTACTCTTCCAAACTTCTGGATGCATAAATTCATAAATATCCACTGATATAGATGAATTACATTTTTTAATAGAATTTTGTGGTTCCTGAGATTCCTTGGTGGCTCACCCAGTTAAACAAAGGACTCTTGATTTCCTCTCAGGTCATGATCTCAGGCTCCAGGGATGGAGTCCTGGGTGGGCTTCAAGCTCAAAAGGGACTTGGCTTCTCTCCCACTCTTTCTACCCCTCCCTACATCCCCCACTCTCTCTAGAATGGATGAATGAATCTTTAAAAGAAAAAGAAAAAAAAGAAAGAAAGAAAGAATCATCCGAAAAGGCATTCTTATACTGAGCCCAAACTTGCCTTCCTGGGATTTTCATTCATTGGTTCTAATTCACTTTTTGAAGCCATGGAGACAGAGTCCAACTCCTTTTCCAACTGACTGTGTTTCAAATATGTAAAGATAGTCACCATGTCTCACTCACTCCAAGACTCCCCTGTAAAACATCCTTAATCCTCCAAACAAAATCTCATTTGCAGTAAGTACTTCCTAGAATCATCACCAACCTGCAGACTTTGATCTAAATAGCATCTATTCTGTAAATATATAAATATATATTTCTTTGTAAATACAAAGAAAATTTTATGATGATGGAAGTTAATATGTTTATTGCAGAAACTTTGAAAAACATAAGATTCAATGTGAAGATAAAGTAATATATGTAACATTCAATGTATCTTAGCTGTTACAAAAAATGAACATAGTCATTTTCCTCCCACTAAGGTACAGTAGTCTCTTTTTGTTTGTTTAAAAAAAAATATTTTTAAGATTTTATTTATTTATTTGACAGACAGAGATCATAAGTAGGCAGAGAGGCGAGCAAAGAGGGGGCGGGGGAGAGAGGAAGCAGCTCCCTGCTTAGCAGAGAGCCTGATGTGGGACTTGATCCCAGGACCCTGAGATCATGACCTGAGCTGAAGGCAGAGGCTTAACCCACCGAGCCACCCAGGAGCCCCTGTTTGTTACAAATTTTTATTTAAATTCTAGTTAGTTAACATTTGGTGCAATATTGGTTTCAGGAGTAGAACTGAGTGGTTCATCACTTAGGTACAATACTCAGTGCATCACAAAAGCCCTCCTTAATATGCATCACTCATCTAGCCCATCCCCTGCCCAACCCCTTCCATCAACCTCCAATTTGTTCTCTGTCCTTAAGAGTCTCCTTTGGTTTGTTTTCCTGTCTCTCTTTTTCCCCCCCTCCCAAATGTTCATCTGTTTTGTTTCTTAAATTCCACATATGAGTGAAATCATATGGTATTTGTCTTTCTTTGATTAATTTCACATAACATAAGACAATCTGGCTCCATCCATATCATTGCAAGTGGCAAGATTTCATTCTTTTTGATGGCGGAGTAATATTCCACTGTAATATTCCATCAATACACCACATCTTCTTTATCCATTCATCA